CCCCGTCGTCCGGCTTCGGTTCGGGTTGGCCCCCCCCTTTGGGGGCCTCCGGCAGGCTCGCGAGGACCTCGGCCCACCGCGCCTCCTCCTGCGTGAGGTGGCGGCCGCGGTAGGAAAGGCTGAGGGCGAGGTCGTCCGGGAGGTCGAGCATGACCCGGATGAGCGTGCGCACCTCGCCGACCGTCATCTCCGGATCGATGAATAAACTCAGCTTGTCGGCGACGTTGGAGACGATTTGGTAGTCCATCCGAGGTACGGGTGGAAAGTGGGTGAACGCGCGACCGGGGATGATCAAAGGACTAAAGAGAGAGAAGAAAAAAAAAAAGCAAAAAAATAAACGAAACGAAAAAAGGAAAAAAATCGCTCTGAGGGGTGTTGTCCCCTGGGTGCTCACTGTTTACGCTGTGCGTGGGGGCTTGATGGGATATAGAAAATGGAGATAAACATAAAAGAACGGAGATGCATCGGTGGGAACAGAAAAAAGATACAGGAAAGTTACATGCGGGAAAGCAGCCGATCATGCCCTCCTCCCCGTACGTGGTGGATTAAACACGTTCAAGCGAGAAAGCGTGCGAAATCAATAGGCACAGTGGAAACGAAAATATTAACTTTGCAACAGCAGCAGCCAACCTCAATACCGCAAATTTGCCGTCGTCGACCACATCACGCCACCCTACGAGTTCGAAGCGTTCATAATCTTCAGAGCGGCGGAACGGTAGAAATTTGGGGGGACCGAAAATTCCTCGACTTCCGCGGAGTTGGCACCCCGCATCAAACTGATTTGCTGAGCATCCACACTACCCGCAAAGCTCTCGTGTGGGAAAAAAAAATTTCGCAAAAAGATCTGCCCCCATTCCCAATCGCTGCAACGCCGCACCGCCTGGATCGTGAGCCTAGCTATAAGTGAAGCCAACTCACACTCCTCCTCCGCTCGTATTTCCTCCACCGCGGTGCTCACATCCCCCTGTTTCACCCTCCCCACAGGCCTTCCGCCTTTTCCTCCTCCGTTCGAGTTTGACTCCTCAGCCAACCGATCGAAAATCGAATCCCTCGGGGAACGATTCGCCTCCACAGCAGGGTTCTTCGCTAGAGCGGTGAGAGCCGCGTGAATCCCCCTTTCCCTTCCTTCGTCTTCTGGGAAGTGGGCAGCGAACAACCGCGGCGCCGCCTCCGCGCTGAGGAGGTAGGCAATGGCGGAGATCCAAAAGGCGGTCGACCCCGCCGCCGCCTCGCCGTTTCGCGCGATTCGCCCTCGACGAATCCCCATCGCCGCGAGCACCGCCGGCCGCGGCAACGCCTCGCGAAGAAGCGGCATCGAACAGCCAAACCGACGGCGAAGAAGCGCACGACCTCGCGCGGAAGGCTCCCGCAACAACGCGGAAAGCCCCCCCCTACCTTGCGAGGGATTCGCAAAAACGACAAACCCCCGCACGCGACGAACCCCTTTTGGTGAGCAGACGGGCAACGCGACCTCCAGCAGCCCGTCGCCGTACACCCGACAGCCTTTTTCCCCCGCCGCCTCCCCTTCCAAGTGAATCGCACGGAAGCAGGCGGCGATCCGTCGTCTGGATGCGACGCTTTTCCAACGGATTTCCTTCTCGAGGTTGGCCGGTTTCGCCTCATCGGAAAGAAGGGGAAGGCGAGGAACGTGCTCCACCACCCTCGGCAGGATCACCCCTCGCAAATCCGGGGATTCGAACCCGCCGAGGTGAACGACGGCGTCTGGAACCCACGCGGGCGCGAAATCGTCGTGGGCGGACGCCGACGAGGGGGAGGAGGAGGTTTTTTCCGTTTCTTTCGGGAAAAGCGGGCAGCGTGGGTAGGCGCCGGGCCGTTGCGCGATCGCGGCGGTGGCAGGCCCCCAATGGCGGTCGTAAAGAAGCCGCCACACCGCGGTGGAAGGGTGAACCTCCCGCAACGAACGCCGCGCGAAGGGAAGAGGACCGGGCGATCCATCCAAAGGGCTCGCCATCGTCTCGGAAAGTCCGACTTCGCTCAGTGAGGAAATGGTGAAATCAGGGGTAATCCCACAGGTGGTCGCATAAGGGGCCTCCATGTGAGGGAACACAATAGAGGCGAAGGGAAAGGCTGCTAAGAAAAGCTGCTCGATCGCCTCACGGTGGACTCGCGAGAAACTTTTTGGACGGATCATCGGAAATGCAGACCCGATCGTCTAGTATTTCGGTCCCTGAGAAAGAAGGTATGAAGTAGAATTTAGCTTCTGCAACAACCATTAATACATTGGGCTCAACAACGACAACAAAAAATTCCTTAAACAATACTTTCCTTGCGGTCGCGTCATATTTTTCCGTTTCATCGGTTTCAAACACGAAATCTAGTCGAAATAACATACACGAACATTTTAAATTCCTTCATCGATTTTTCTTTTTCGATGATTTGCAAGGTTCGCACTCTGTGAGGTACTAATAGAACGAGAAGCTTAAAAATTGAAAGTATGGGAGTAAAGCTCCGATGTTTGTGGTTGTTCTGCACTGGATCCTTTCTCGCCGACAAGTTCCACCAAATCAGATCCCTAATTCGTCAGAAGGAAAAATGAAACGCTGCACAGAGACCAAAAAATTCGAAGCAATAAACAGTCCCGTCATCTTCTCTCTGAAATGCATGACTTAAGCTTCGAAGGTCATGATTGAATTCTATGGAAATGACTTTTGCTAATTTAGAACCTCAGCAAATGTCAAAATCAGGCCTTGAAACCAAACGACCTCAGTGCGAGGCTTTCTAAGGCTTCGTATACCAAGTGGGTGTCAGCTTTCCCTAACAACAAGGAAACGACTTCAATGGAATGTATTTATTGATGGATCTAAGACTATCGTATTCTTCAAAAATGTTATTCTAGGCTTTTGATTGCTTACCTAGTATAAAGGGTACGAGACCAAGAAAATAAAATGATTACCAACACAGAACCAAACGATAGCAACTAACGTCGACGTGTTGGACAAGGGGGGGGGGGGGGGGGAAGGAATACTGTATTGTATGAACCGTAAAGCCTTGTTATGTTGTTAGAAATGTTGTTCATCAACATGTAGTGTGAATCAATTACAATTTTTTTTCTAGGTAACCTTTTATCACATCCGTCGAAAGGTTTCCTCAGTCGTTTTAAGAATTAGAAAGAAGTAGTTTATATGTCTCGACATGACTGCCTTCCAGTGCTTCCTCCCTCAACGCACACAACAATGAAACGATACGTCAAGCAAAGACTACTACGGTGGGAAAACTGAATGAATAGAATTTCAGTAATGTGAACCCTCTATAGTTTCATTAAATTCACAAGAAATATCTCATAAGACCTTAATAAAGCAAGCATGTGCCCAAATCAACACAAAATAAGTAAGGGAAGTGCAAAACAAAATGGATTGGGGAACGCTACTTTCTTCCTCATCTTTCTTTCTTTTTATTATTATTATTAGCAGAGTAACAGGAGTAATGATTTACAAAAACGCTCTATGATCAAAATTCCTTGGAATCACAGCTCTCAATGTCAACAACCTTATTTTTTATCTGTAAAAATCATGAGCTATACGGCGGCGGCGGCGGCAGCTCCGTCGGATTGGGTAATGCTATTTGTGATAAAAACGGACGATACGGGGCCGGATAAGGGCTCGAATACGAAGGGTACGAAGTATACACCGAGGAAAGGTCCTGCCCTTGGGGTAAGAGCCCGGTTGGATAGGGCATAACCACGCGTGGATGTTGCCCCGCGACCATCATCGGATGATGCCGTCCCCCGGCAGGGCCGGCGACGTCTACCCGATGTTCCTCTACCACCATTGAATCGCGTGGCAGGTGTGCCTTTCGCGAGAGCACCGGCGCCTCCAACGCGACGTACTCGCACAGCGCGTCGATCTCCTCCGCGGTGCGCGCGAGCCAGACTCCGCCGACGTCGAACAACACCCGTTTGTGAATCCCCCGCACGAGCGCGAGGTCCGCCTCACTGCGGCAGTACAAAATGTAACACCCGGCCCCACGCCACTCCAGGTGCGACGCGCACGCGCCGGAGACGCGATGAATCATCCAGAGCAGCTCCGCCGGCGTCGTTTC